CTGGCATCAGGGCCCCAGCCTTCCACTTCCATCAACACCAGATTCTCAGGGACAATTTAACTTTTGGGGTCCATCGATTTAATACTATGGCGGCAAGACAACTTTTTTTGGGGGGGGTTCGAGACAGGGTTTCTCTGTGTAGCTTTGGAGCCTATCCTGACACTCACTCTGGAGACAAGGCTGGCCTCGAACTCACAGAGATCCGCCTGCCTCTGCCTCCCGAGTGCTGGGATTAAAGGCATGCACCACCAATGCCCAGCTAAGACAACTTATTTTTTAAGATGTCTACCAAGACAGCTACAATGGATGTGTGTCAGAACTTGGTCCAAGAATGGAGCTTTGTGAGGAGAATTCTGAGTGCTTGTGTGAAAACGCCAAGTGTTCAGAACACACTTGTTCTTGGAGTGTGTTTTCACGCCCCTCCCAGGTGTAACAGACAGGAGTGAGTTTACTTCGGCAGCTGCTATTCATATGCTTCTACAGAAAATCATGTTTTTGGCCATGTGTGGCTCATCCTTGTGATTGTAAACTTTACTCAGGTGACTCTTAACCCTCAGAATATAAACGGTCTGATGCTCCGAATAACGTTGGCCACTGCATGAGACTGCGGTCAGCCTCGTTTTTTAGGTCCCGATCTCCCAGGTTCACATAGCCTCTAGAACGGTAAACGATGTGTTCTCCATCATGATTATGCTTGTGATTTTGTAGGTATGTAAAAATCTATGGCATGGGGCCAGGGACACAGCTCAGCAGGTGAAAGTGCTTGCCACCAAACCTGATGATCTGAGTTCAAAGCCCCAGATGATGGAAAGAGGACCAGCCCCCCCACAAGCCATCCTATGACCACCACACTCATGACATGGCACATGTACAAGCATGCATGTGCAACTGCATGTACAGATGCATGTATACATACATATAAATAAATGCATGTTTAGAATATCTATTAATTTTCTACTTCAATGCCAATCACCTCTCCCCACAGGAAGCTTTTAGAAGTTCTCAGACACACACCTCAACCCAGTCTACAAGAGAAGGACTCCTAAGACCTACTAAGGAACTCAGCCACTGGCCTGCACCACATATCCTGAACTTAGTTATACCAGGCTGTGTTGCTAATATGTATACACAACCCTTTAGACTCAGAACAGTCAGATTGTGGCCAATTTTGTAAAGTACCTGGCATTTCTCCCATTTCCTGGAGTTTGGACCAGAGCAAGCAGGCATCTGGTGCCCGCAGGCCCCCTGGGCAAGCTCCTGTTAGCACGGGCCCTGGGCCCTGAGGAGCCTGGTTCCAGTAGCTGCGTATAGCACCTGCCTGTCCCCTGTCCCCTGTTATTGGCTGTGTTGGAAACATGCCCAGCATCTCTTTAGAGGCCATCTGTCTCCACATCTGCATCTTCAGGGTCTGGGATCTTTCAGGACCAAGCAGGGCATCTCTCTGCTTACAGTGACTAGCTCCTAGCCTGGTCTGAACAACCAGCACTCAGAACAAAGGCACCTACCCGGCCTGTCTGCTGCTGCTGCTGCCTCCATTTTCCCCACAGGTAGGGATCTCCCCTCCTCAACCTCCCAGGTGTCTTAGACACCATGAGCCCTTGAAGGGTTATCAAGATTGTGGTAAGTCCCTGGGTAACCACTGGTAGCAGATGAAGGAAGGCTGGGCTTCTGGGGAGCGTATGCCTGGCTTGTTCTATGCAGACAGTTGGAGGCCCCTTTCAACCTCCTCATGTTTGCCAGGAAAATCTCTCTCTTCCTTCAAAGGCCTTGGCTGGCTCTGTGGAAATTGGCAGGTAGCTGCTATGGGTCTGGTTCTGGGAGGGGACAGCACTCAGGTCCCAGCTCCCCTGGACAAAATAAGCCTCTTCCCTCCTCATCCTGGGAAGGACTGGTGATCTGGGAAGAGGCTCTGTAGGAGTTCCTGAACTGTTCTTACTTTTAATTGCTTTTAGGGACTGGAAACTGCTCCACGCTGCATTATGCCTCAAAAAGCAAACTAAAAACACTTCACAAAAACCTTCCAAATAGCACGAGTTGGAGCACAGGTATCACAGACTTCTCTGTACCCTGACACGAATACCAGGCAAGTTTTTTCCCTATAGCCCAGGCTAGCCTCAAACTTATGGAACTATTCCTTCCTCAGCCTTTGGAGTACTGGGATTACAGGTATGAGACATCATTCTCAACTTAATTCATGATATCTCTATCTGTAGACATACTCAATGCATTTATGTATTGGCTCCAGCCACCAGGGTGCTATACTACTGACTGCAGAATCCCTGCTACTGGCTATATACTGGCTTCATGTTTCTGGTAGTTACAAACCAGCCTCAGCATCCCTGGTGGTTATGTACTGGCTTCAATGTCCCTGAAAGTCACCTGTTACAGCGCCCCTTGAAGTCCTCTATGAGCATGGCGTGTCTCTGACCTAGCTATGTCTCTCTCATCTGTGTACCTCTATCCTGGTCAGGCCACTGTCTCGGTTCATTGGATCATGACCTATTTAACACAGGTCTTAGCTCCTGCAGTGGCCTCTCAGTGGCCTAAACAAACCCCACAGCCCCGCACACCCCTTAGAATAGGGTCAGAAACCTTTTGGTTTATTATATGTTAGATTCTGCACTTTCTGGCACACTGACCTTCTCCAAGCTGCCAAGCCCTTGGAGACATACCAACATCTTTATCTGCGTTGTTCACTGATATGTGCCCCCCCCCACCCCCCAGTTGCTGGGACTGTGTCTAGAGCAAGATGGAGGCTTAGGAAAGTATGAGAGGTTAGAAGCTGCCCTGCACTCACTGTGGTCCCTGTATTATGTCCCTGCTATCTATTTAAATTGAGTTGTGCAGATCCTGTACTTTAGATGCCCTGTGATTTCCCTGGATGGCTCGGCTTCTTTTTTTCCTTGGTGAAGGACTTTCTGTTTGAGACCATCTGGATGGCTCTCTCAGTTGGGGCCTATGAGGACAGCAGGGGATCCCAGCAGGGGCTGCACTCCCAGAGGCTGCCCTGCCTCAACACAACAGTAATTTAAAAAGACTGGATGATCCTGGCAGCACCAGAAGTGTAAAACCACATTCTTCTTGAGGACTGCCAGAGGGTCTGTTCTTGGGCTACACTTAAAGCCTGCTGAATTGTGGGAATATCATCAGCACACCTAAATATTTCTTGCTGAGTGGTTGTGCAAGGCAGCCCACCCCCTCATCGTGGATGCAGCTTCCTAAGTTCTCTCCACTTTTAGCGAGCTAGCAAGCAGAGTTCCTCTATGGTCTGTCTCTGCTTCAATTCCTATCTTGGCTTCTTCTAACCATGGGCTGTGATGGGACACGCAAGCCAAAGACACCCTTTCCTCCTCAAGCTGCTTTTGATCATAGTGTCTTTATTGAAGCAATAGGAACCTAAGACATGCCCCGTCTACTCACTTGTTTCCGTGCAGCCCCTCACCTCCTTCCCACAGCAGCCTTCAGTCAGCCTGCCAAAATTGACCTGATTGTCCTTAACTGTGTCTCACTGAGGAAACAGCATTCAAGTGCCATCCTTTGTGGGGAGTCCTTGATTTCCATCTCTCTCTCAAACACTCTCCTCTCTCTCTCTCTCTCTCTCTCTCTCTCTCTCTCTTGTGACCTCCTGTATACCATACATGCCATGTAAGCACTCTACCATTGAGCTATGTAAACACGCTACCATTGAGTGCTATACTCCTGGTTCTGGAAACTTTTTAACAATACATTAATATTCTTTAAAAGGCTGACTCTCCCCTACTGCTGCTATGCATGGTGCCCAGTCTTGGTTGGTTTTTTGTCAGCTTGTCACAAGCTAGAGTAAACTGGGAAAAACTGCCACCAAGCAAATGTCTCCATCCTCTCACCTGTGGGCAGGACTGGCAGAGCATTTTCTCCATTAATGATTGATGTGGGAGGGGCTAAGCTCACTGGGAGGGGTGGCACCCCTGGGCAGGTGGTCAAAAGCAGGTTGAGTGAACCATGAGGAGCAAGCCAGCCGGCAGAGTTCCTCCACGGTCTCTGCTTCTGTTCCTGTCTCGGCTTCTTCCAATGACAGACAGTAATCAGATATGTAAGCCAAAGACACCCTTTCCTCCCAAGATGCTTTGGGTCATGGCATCTTAATCGAAGCAATAGGAACCTAACTAAGATATGCCCTGTCTACTCACTGGTTTCCTTGCAGCCCCATCCCCTTCTTCCCACAGCAGCCTTCACTCAGAACTTTAGTGCTGTGGATCTACAAGCTGGTGTGCAAGTTGGGTAGCAGGAGAGCATCCCTGGAGTCGGATGGGGGCATGCCCACAGCAGAACTGGAGTTTTCATGCTGTACTGCAGATCTGCCAGCACCTGAGAAAATGCCTCCATCACATAACCTGTGTGCACATCTGCAGAGCATTTCCCTAATGATCAGTGTGGGAGGGCTCAGCTCACTGAGGTCTGAAGTAGCCAGGGGCTGAGTCCTCTCCAGAGCCCCCGAGTAGAATCCCTGGTCTGGTTTTGCCGAGTTTCTCTGCCTCTCTCCGTCTGGGCCACCCAGTTCTTGGTCCGTGGCCACCTCTGATGAAGGGCTGGGCTCAGGCCAGCAGCCCACAGTATTTCTTCAGGTACATTCCTCCTCACTGGCTCTGTCTTCCATCTCAGGCAGTGAAAGCTCAGGGTCTTTTCCTAGACTCTGATTTCAAGGGGCTGGAGATTGGAAAGGAAAGAGAAGGGGGGAGCAAAAGGGGAGGAGGAGAGAAAACGGAGGAGGAGCCACAGGCACCAGGACCTAGGAGGGAGGAAGGGAGGCGTAGGAGATGGAGGGGGTTGACGGGTGGTGGTGGAGGGAGAAGGGAAATGACCAGAGGAGAGAGGAAGACAGAAGGAGAGGTAGGAAGAGTGCCTGTGGAGTGGATACAGGGCTTGGCGGCTGCTTCTGGGCCTCCTGAAACCTAACCAGACAGAAGAAGCTCCAAGCGGTCACTTAGAAGGCTGCCCTCCCAGCGGAGGGCACTTCGGGAATGCAGCCTCTCCCGCCGCCTGTGCCAGGCCCCCTGGCTCTGCTGGATACCACAGGTTAGCTGACAGCATCGTTGGTACCTCTACCACTGGCAGGCACTTTGGGGGCCCAGCTGGGTTACAAGTCTCTAGCTGATCTAATAGGGGGAATTGCTGGCACAGCTCAAAGCTCTGGGCACAGGACTCCTGGGGTTGGGGCTGGGTATGCAGGTCTGGTTTCTTGAACTTGTAGTTTATATGGCACGAGCCACCTAGCCATAGTGCTTCATCTTTCTGCTCGAGTCCATCTATGCTACACACAATTCTGTTTCTGCCCCTACTCTATCCTTTCATTAACGGACCTGAGTACTTATAAGCGCTGCCATCCCTGACCGACACCTTTCCAGTCCTAGTGTATTTATTTCAGTTTCTAAACTTTCTGGGAAATGTTTGTTTGAAAGAACCAGCGAGTGCTTCCTGCCAGAGGTGGAGGATGGTGCTCAGGTCATTTTTGTGTTGTTGGTGCGGGCGAGAGCTTCTACCCACCTCACTGCCCAGCCACTCCATCTCTAATTCAGCCCTAAGCAGCTGAAGCCAGGTCCTTCTGGGAAACCAGGAAACCTGTTGCAGGCTCTGGCTCCGGCTGCTTGGGCTTGGGTGCTCCTCTGGGAAGTAGCCAGACCCTGGAGGGGCGCCAGGCATTGTTCCAGGAGGGCAGAGGGTGGGAGAGACTTGGAGAAGAAAAGACTTTCTACCTTGGGTGACCCTCTGGATGGGACTAGAGGTTTGGTGGGGGAGGGGAGGCTCTGGCTGATGCTTTCAGAGCTAGGTGACACCACCTTCCCCCACACTGACATTGGTATCCCGAGAGTGAGAGTGATGGCCCTGCTTGCTTGGCTGCCTTCTCTTCCTGGGCTTGAACTTGGTCGTCACCCACAGTCACTAACCTGGAAGCAGTGGTTTAATTAGCAGCCAGGCACTGTCTCTGCACAGGATAATGGCACATTGTGGATGGGATAAGGGACAGAGATGGTGCAGTAATTGCCTGGATATCTGTTACACGTGAAAAGCCTTTTGTCTCCAAAACCTGGTGTTGAAATCCTGGGGTTTCAAAGACCCCCTCATCTTCTTGTCTTGGCCTGGTTTTTTAACTCCCTTTTATGCCATACTGTGTATTTAGATGTATTTATAAAAGGCACTTTGAGCAGGAACCCCTCCTTTCCCCTGTATGTCTAGTGGGAATCCATTAACTCCAGGCTAAGCAGTTGGAAAGCGATGCTTAACTACCCTGTCCATCACCATGCAACTTTCCAGACCTTGTTATTCCTGGTAACTGAACAGAAACACTGGCAGCCTGACCTAGCTCATGTCTCTGGGTTTTTTATTATGGAATACTCTAGGGCAGTGGCTCTCAACCAGTCGGTGGCAACCCCTTTGGGGAGGTCAAATGACCCTTTCAACTGGGGTTGCCTATCAGATATTTACATTACAATTCATAACGGTAGCAAAATGACAGTTATGAAGTACCAACAAAAATAATTTCAAGTTTAGGGGTCACCACAACACAAAGAACTGTATTAAAAGGTCTCAGTGTTAGGAAGGGTGAGAGGGGGAAAGTAAGACTCAGAAAGGGACCAGTAAGAGGGAAAAATCATTCAGGGATATGAATGAACCAGGGTATGATCTCAAGAGACTGCCCTTTGGCCTGGTGGATTTTTACAGGTCAGAAGCCATTAGCCCAACAATGATAAGTGCCACCAGCCTAGGATGTCATGTCAATGACCCAACACAGAGGAGGACATGGTCCCAGGGTGCTGTGGGTTGGTGCTGCCTCAGATGAAAGATGTTTCTGCAGAAGGACCTACCCAGATGTCGGCCATGCTGAGCCATTAGTAGTTGTTTGGAATGTGCTTAGAAAAAGAAGGAACGTAAACTCTATAGACAAGAAAGCACCTACATGGTTCATTATATACGTGTTCACTCATCAGCACTTTCTTGCTAGGTATGACCAGGTGGTAGCTGGGCCCGTCCTACTCAGGTGGTCCCAGCCTCCTTGGCTTGCTCCCGAGGCTGAGTGCATGCAGGTGCTGGTCAGCTCTTGGTAGGGCTGTGGGCACCATGGAAAAGCCAGGAGCCCCTTCCTGCTTCAAAGCCTCCCACGTTCTGCTGGGGGTGCTGTGTGCCCTGTTCCTGGTGCTTTCAAAGAAGGGTGTTCCCTTTGCCTCTTGCTGGCCCACCATCATACCTTCACAGGCCTGAGCCATCCAGGGGGGATTCCATTCAGCCTGTCCCACTTGCCCTGAATTTGCTCAGATGCAGGTTGTGGATGCAGGAGAAAGTGAAATTAGAGTTTCTCCTTTCCTACTCATCTGGCGACAGTAGCCTCTCCAGCTCCTGTTCCTTTAGCACCCAGGCTGCCTTCTTGCCAACCACCAACTTCAGGGCTTTCTCAGGGCCATCTGGACCCACTTCCCAACACCTCAGGGCCTCATTTCTGCAAGTTGTTTCCACAGTTTCCACAATTCTCCTTGTTCCCAGGCCATGCTTGGTTACTGTATTGAATTCAGCACTTTATAAAGCCTCTATGTACTGCGGCTCATCTTATATATTGGCTTTCTCTCCCAAGACCAAAAGCTTCCAATGGGGGCAGGGTTCACCTCGTGTTCATGGCAAGTGTCTGTACACAATGAATGCTCAGTTAAGTGGGGGATGGGGTATTTGGGGAAAGAATGAGAATGACTAAGAAACCACATAGGAGTGAATGAACATGTGTGGTTTCTGCAGGTGACATTCAAGTAAGCCCATAGGGTGAGCTGAGGCAGATACAAGGGTCCCATGAACTCTGGACATAAACCTTCCTCTCAGAGGCAAAAGTGTGGTGATTGGGAGTGGAAGGGGAGACTGACTCATATCTGAGACCAGGACTTGAAGAGCCTGGTCAGCAGGAGTTCCATCCTCTACAACCCCTTGGGGACCTCAGAAGCAGTAAGGCCTGAGGTAGAGGCCCACACTTGACAGCTCCCAGGAACTAGTGACTCCTGTGTTGGGGAATGGTAGATCTGGTCTCTCTTTGGGGAAGAAAAGTGGCTTAGGATAAGATTCTGAGAAGACACCTGTCACACCCTGGTCTGGAGAAGACTGAACAGAGATGAGCAGGGCCTCTGGAGTGTGGGGTCTTACTCCTGGAGATGTGTCCTTGCTGTGTCAGCCAGATAAAAATGCCTTTCTCTGGTCAGCTGGGTCATTTGGAGTGTGAGCAGTCATCTGTAGTCCTTTGAGAATTTATGTCTTGAGTTTGTAACCCTCCCTTTCTTGGGTGTCATAACCTTGACTTGCGTTAAGCTTCACTGGTGGGATCAAAGATGTGTGAAATCCTTAGATGAGAGCCTCCCAGAGCGTGAAAAGCTGCCCGTTCAGAAGCAGTGGACATTTGAAAGGGGGATGATACTTGCGTAGCCAAGCCACTTACTTCCTGATGAAGCAGGCACTGCGCTGTGTGTACACACATACAGGCACACATGAGTATTCATAATTTGCACACGTGTATACATACTCAAAATGTTGACTTGATAGGAATCTGGAGTCAAGAAGGCCACCAGACTTTTCTTCCACCCCACTTATGTTTGCAGTGGCTTGGCCAAAAGCCTGGCTGGAGCAGAGATGATCATGCCTTCTCACTTGGTTTTGGCCATAGCCTGTGGTTCTGGTGTATGGCTGTGCTGTGATTACGGGAGGCAGGTGAGTGTGGCAATCAGTGGGAAAGCTGTTCTAGCCTCCCCCAGATCATGAGGGGAAGAGTCGGGCTCCAGAAGGTAGAGCAGAGGGCGAGCACTATCCTGAGAGCTGTGCAGCACACGGAGTTCAGCTGCACAGAGCAGGCTGTCCAGAGGAGTGCTTCATGATGCTTGGGCTTGTCTGATGAAGGCTGGAGACAGACACACAGTGGTATTTCTGATGATGTTCTCTACCTGTGACTTCATTCCAAAGTCTCCTAGTCCAAAGTGGCTTCAGGGCCTGGCTGCATCTCAGGCTGGAGGCAGGACCAAGGCAAGTAGCAGTGCCTTGATGCTCCTTGAGTCCAGCAGTATCTGCTGAGCTTAGGCATGTGCAGAGCTCAATCTCACAGCCTGCAGCTACAGATGCAGCCTTCCAGCTGGGTGGATAGGTCCACACCCAGAAACCCCTGCAGCTGACAAGAGGGCCCATGTCTGGGGCACAGCTGCCTCTGACACTCATGACACACTTGCTCCATTCCTCATGAAGTCATTCTCTCCTTGACCTTGAGATGGATGAAAGCAAACTACTCTCCAGCCTTAGGGAGTGACCCCTGACTATGCTCAGGGCCACCGAGAAGGGAGGAGTGGACAGACTGCTCATCTGCCTGGCACAGCTGGGACCAAGTTTTCCCTTTGCTGGTAGAGGGCAGATGTGAAGATCACATGATTCCAAAAGGATGGGCCTGGACCACAGCGGGCAACCAACTCACCAACATACCTCTTATCCTCCTCACAGAGGGCTTTGCAAGGAGAAAGAAGATCTCTCTGTGGTTTGTGGGCTCTCTGCTGTTGGTGTCCACTCTCATCCTGACCATCGGCCTGGCTGCCACCACCAGGACAGAGAATGTGACTGTGGGCGGCTACTACCCAGGGATCATCGTGAGTCAAAGGCCTAGGGGGGACTGAGCAGGATGTTCAGCGTTCTGCGTGGAGAGATTCCCTGCTAGTCCATGGTGGGAGGGGGCCATAGTCTTAGGAAATTGATCCCAGAGTGATGCTAAGTATTTGAGAGTGTTCAGGGAAGATGGAGGACTGAGGGCTGCCGGTCAGAGGGCCCTAAGATAGGCCATCATCTTGCACCATGCTGGTAGGACAGACTCGGAGCAGTGTGTAGAGTGTCGTTGGAACTCGGGCACAATGCCCTGGCTTTAAGATGAGGACAGGTGCAAGCATATGACCTGAACACCTGACTGTGCCTGTCTGGGAGAGCTCCTGGACCCCAAACCTCCATCCTGCCTGTCTCCATGCCAAGGCTGCCTGCTGTCCTTGCCTGCTGTATCTGAACACTCTAGTGTGGGCAGGGTCTTGGTCTTATCAGCTCTTCACTGAAACCCCATAGGTGTCCAGCTTTAAATTTCCATCTTTCTTGGGCTGGCGAGAGAGGGCATGCCAGAAGCTCAGTGTGAGGTCCCTACGCAGGTGTACCAAGACTGAGTCCTGTGTCCAAAAGGTGAACTGAGCTCATAGAAGCATAGCTTCTGCTTCTGTGGTCCACCAGCAGGCTTTGGTGTGTGTGTGTGTGTGCTGTCCCTTCCTAGGGAAAGTAACCACCTGCCCTGTGGTGCTTCCTAAGGTGGGAGTGGCCACACTCTTCTGACAAAGTATTTAATTTTATTTTTAGTGTTTTTTTTTTTTTTTTTTTTTTTTTTTTTTTTTTTTTTTAGACAGAGTCTCATTTGGTAGCCCAATTTGGCCATTTTCCTGCCTCACCTTCCCAAGTTCTGGGATTATAGGTTTGAGTTACTATACCCACTTGGACAAAACATTTTAAGGGTGAATTATTAAATATTTACAAATCATATTTACTTACCTTGGGAGGGTGGAATGTATGCTTTGGTGCATGTGTGGGGGTCAGAGGAATTGGTTCTTTTACTTCTATCATGTGGGTCCTGGGGATTGAACTCAGGTCATGAGGCTTGTCAGCAAGTGCCTTTGCTTGCTGAGCCATCTCACCAGCAATGTGATGGGTCAGTGTGATGCTAACCAAATGTTTCTCTTGTTCTTCTTTCATCTCAGCTGGGCTTTGGGTCTTTCTTGGGAATCATTGGTATCCACCTGGTGGAGAATAGAAGACAAATGGTAAGAATGATCTCTTTCAACATGGGGCTGTAGGAATGTTGATCCTTCAATATAGGAGGCTATAGTCACAGCTAGGGTTTCCTCTCCACGTTCATCTGAAACCCCTGGACTACACAACCCAAGACTCGGAGCCTAATGGGTGCTGTTCACAACTTGGTCTAAATGAGAGCACACCCCACTGAGGAACAGAGAGAAGTAGAGATGAAAACAGCAGCAGACACTGGGGTCAAATCTTAGAAAACATTGTTACTGTTCTATCACTGTGAAGAGACACTGTGACCAAGGCAACTTACAAAAGAAAACATTTAATGGTTGCCAATGTCAAGCTTTAGCAGGGAGAAACTGGAGAGGAGATGGCAGAGTCTGCCCTACTAAACACACAGACTTACTTGAGGGAGCAGAGCTTAATTCTTCATTTTTTCTCTTCTCCAGTTTCTTATTTTCCTCTTATCCCTTTTATACTGCCTAAGACAGAAGCTTCTATGCAAGAAGAAATTATCTCACAACCCCACATTACATATTTTTCAGAAACAAATTAAAATCTTTACACAGGAAGAAATCATTATTATGCTCACAAGTTACATGTTTTTCTTAGAAGCCCACATGTAATTAAACATTTTCCTTTGTATTATTTCTCCCACCATAAATCTTCATTCTAAAGCAATAATTCTTTTATTATTGATTAACAGAGTTTTAAGCAAGCAAAGTATATCTCAGCCAGTTCCTCTTGTACTAGCAGGCAGCTGTTTGCAGTTTCATTATAGCAGATTCCTATCCTATTTCTACTCTACAAACCTAAAAAGAGTGGTCTAGCTAACCATCTTTTTTTTCTTTACACATATGAGGGTCATTTAACTTCCTGCCATAACCGTTTCTCCAAGGTGCACACAAAAGCTTGTGATTGATTCTGTAAGCTACATGACCAAGGAACTCAGACCTAACCCTGGGTGTAGGGATATAATTGCTTTCTTTGTTTCCACACAGGCAGAACTCATGAGCCTATAATGCATGAAGTTTCCTTGTTCTTATTTTCTATCCTAGGCAAGCCTCATGTCTAAGACAAAGGGAAAGTGACTTCTGGTCTTATTTTTATCTTTCTTGTCTCTCTTATTGGAGCAATTGACAGAATAACCATTTCTATAATCTTTACTGTACTAACCACTTGTATCTTTAAATCATTGATCCAACTAAGCATCATTGCTCTATTATGATCTGTGAGTAAATTGCTCAGTGAGGAGTGGGATATTCCCATGAAACAATCACACTATGCTAGGTACAGTGGGATTCTTTCACATAGTAATCACAGCATGCCAAATACAGTAGAAACATGAGAGCAGTGAGCAGGAGAAGGCACAGCAGAAGCAAGGGACACTCTGGAGATAAAAGGCTAGGTCTTTGCCTCTCCAGAGTGCATGCATGGCAGCCATGCTATCCAGTGAGCTGTACTCCAAATGCTCCATTGCTTTCTGCAGTTCTGACGTGGCCACTGCCAATGGTGGCCTCCTTACAGTTTCAGAGGTTGAGTCCATGGTCATCCTGGTGGGGTGAGTGGCAGCAGACACAGGAAGGCGTGGTGATGGAGAAATAGCAGAGAACTTACATCCGATCCTCAAGTACAAGGTGGTGGCATGGAGGGAGAGCTAACTGGGGATGGTGTGAGGTTTTGAAACCTCAAAGCCCACATTCAGTGACACACCTTCTCCAACAAGGCCACACCTCTAATCCTTCCCAAGTAGTTTCATCAACCACAGACCAAGCATTCAAATAGATGAGCATATGGGGGGCATTCTTATTCAGACCATCACAATAGTAGACATTTAGATGATGCTGTTTGTCCAAGTTCATAGAGTATTAATAGCCATGTGTAGTACAGGGGACTATAGACTGTGTTTGTTGGTGCACTGTTATAGATTATAAGTGGTAAAAATAAGTAATGATCACTTCTGTTAAGTCTTGTTGCGGTGCTCTGGGGATACCCCCAGTCTCCAGCCCTCCATTCCCTGTGCCATTGAGTGCCAGTGTTACAGGCACTCACCACCATGTCTTGATTTTACACAGGTGCTGGGGATCTGAACATAGGTCCTCATGCTTGTGTGATAGGCACTTAACCAACTGTGCTATCTTGCTAGCTTTGAATTTTGAGGGTTTTTTTTGTTTTGATTTTTGTTTTTTTTTTTTTTTGTTTTGTTTTATTGAGACAGGGTTTCTCTGTGTAACCACTCTGGCTGTCCTGGAATTCACTTTGTAGACCAGGCTGGCCTTGAACTCACAGAGTTCTACCTGCCTCTACCTCCTGAGTTCTGGGATTAAAGGTGTGTGTCACCATCACACAGCTGAGGTGGAGTTTTAACAGTTACATTTCTTTCAGGCTTTTGACCCACTTTAGTCATGCATGATGGAAGCACAACTTCCAGAAATTCCCTTGTTTTCCTCATTATCTGAACAACATTTGTTAGGGTCTGTTTTTTAAAAGTAACTATAAAATATTAAAATTTCTTATTTAAAAAATTAAAAAATAACTACATCATTTCACCCATCCCTTTTCTTCTTCCAATCCCTCCCATAAACCTACCTCATTGCTCTCATAGTATATACATAGATATAATCTATAACCTATATATAATATAATATGTCTATATATAATGTATAACCTGCTAAGCCCATTTAGTGTTGCTTGTATATAATTTCAGGGCTGGCCACTTGGTATTGGATAATCATCTAGGTGACTCATCCCTAGGGAAGACTAATTGTCATGTCACTCTTTCAGCATGCCTTGGTATGCTGAATATGTCTATGTCAACTTGACAGAAGCTAAAGTCGTCTGAGCTAAGGAACCTCAAGTGAATTCTTCCATAAGACCAGGCTGTAGGCAAGCCTATAAGGCATTTTCTTAGTGAATGATAGGAGAGGCCCATTGTGGGTGGGACCATCCCTGGGCTGATGGTCCTGGGTTTTATAAGAAAGAAGACTGGGCAAGCCATGGGGAACAAGCCAGTAAGCAGCACCCCTCCATGGCCTCTGCATCAGCTCCTGCCTCCAGGTTCCAGCCTTGTTTGAGTTCTTTCCCTGACTGCTTTTGGTGATGAACAGCAACATGGAAGTGTAAGCCAAATACTTTCTTCTTCAACTTGCTTTTTGGTCATAGTTTTCCATCACAACAATAGAAACCCTAAGACACTGAAGACACTTAGTTACCTGTAATTTTTTGTCTGTGGGTGGGACCCAATGAAATTTCCCTCCTCTGTGTGAGCATGACTACTGATGTACTTTTTATTAAGGTATTAGCTAAGCAGCCATATTGTTGAGGTATCATGGATGAAGCTCCCCTGTCATTTCTAGGACACAGACTCTCACAGTAGACTTCCTGGCCCTCTGGCTCTTACAATCTCTCTGCTCCCTCTTCCATGGTGTTCTCCAAGCCTTAGGTATAGCAGTGGTGCTGTAGATTATCAATTAGGGCTGGCAACCTCCTGACATCTTGTTCTCGGCATTTTGACCAAATATCCATCTGTTGCAAAGATGGTTTTGTTTGGGGCTGAGCGCTAGTCATCTGGCTTGGCTCTTGTACAAGATATGTAGGACCTAGCGGGGCTGAGAGATTAGATGTGGTGCATGAGAAACCGGAATCCGTTCTTTCTCCATCAAATGGGTTTGGTTTCTATGTCAGTCGTCTGACTATAAATATGTCGCTGATTTCTGGGCTCTCAGTTCTGACCCACAGGTCAATGGATCTGTCTATGAGCCACACCATTGTCTTGTTTTCTTCAGCTTTGTCATAAAGCTCTGTAATCAGGACATGTGAGTCTTCCAGCTTTGTTCTGCATTTCCAGATTGTTCCACTTAAGCAATATTTCTTGTAATTATCGTGGGTGAACCACCACAGCAACATCTCTAAAGGTGTGAGGTGCCAAGACAGAAGGCAGAGAGCTCAGTCCTGGGAATACACCATTCCCTATTTGTCTAGCATGTTTGTTTGTTTTTTAAAACTTATTTCACAAATGTTTTTAGTTTTCTGAGTATGAGTTTTGTTATTTTTGTTAACTTTATTCCTAATATTTTTCATTATGAAGGTACTGTGTTGGCATTGTTTTGAAGGGTTCATTACCACTGGCTTTTGCTAAAGTTCATTCCAAACCTGCAAGCCACAGAGCTAGCTCATGTGTTGTTTCTGATAGCTTTTCAGTGGATTCCTCAGGATTGTGTGTCTGCAAGATTGTGTCACCTTGCAGACAGCAGCTTTACCTTTCTTGCTTGGGTCCAGAAACCCTGGCTATGGCTACTCTGGGCCTGGTAGTTTGAGTATAAAGAATCAGAGATTTGTAGTGGCAAGGGCAGCAGGTCCAGCAGTGGACAAGTGGAATTGGTCCCTATGTCCTTACGTTATCCTGATAACCTGTGTGTGGTTCCCACATAATCTTGATTCTGCTCTCGTATCACAGACACACATTTCCATATAACACAATTTTATGATTAGGTACCTTACTTGTGCACAGCTGGAAGTTACACCCCTACTGACTAGCTTTCATGGTGCTAGAAAGTACTCTGCATGATACTGGAGGAGAAAAGTAATCATTAATATCACCCAGCTGCAAACCTGTGACCTATAGCAGTGACTTGCCTGTGAGATACTGGAGCTATAATGGCACAAACATTATAGGCATAGCCAACCATCTTTTTTTTTTTTAAAAAAAAAATTAAGGCCCACTTCATGAGATGGAATCCATACCTGACGCTGATACACTGCCCAAGAACCTGAGACTGAGAAGGTTATGGGCCTGTAGGAAGCCCACAAAGGAAACTGATGTAATACTAGTGAATTTGACCTACTCTGGACTTCAATGCTGTCTTGGCAGGGCTGGTACCTGAGGGAGTATCTAGCACAGATCTGGGAGCCACTATTTTGTGTCTCCAGGGGGCATTTAGGTTGTTTCAGGGAGTGGCATCGGGTAGGCCAGCTTCAGCCAAGGAGAGGATAGCTATGTAAAGCCATTTAGCTGTGTAAAGTGATTTTCTTTTGATTTCTCTTTATTTTAAAATTGTACTATAGAAAAATTTACGCATATGTAAAAAGTAGAATAGCACCATACCCACTCTAGGTGTACTTATCACCTATGGGCCAGTTCAAAGCTGATCTCTGTTCCCTTCTGTACTTCCTTCCCATGGGAGGTTGAGGCAAATCTCAGACACTTATTCCATTTGTGCATGCTTCAATCTGTCCACTCTGAGGGCAGAATCTAATTAGAAATGATTTCACCATCATCTCTGCCTATTATTATGACAATCGCTAGAGGAAGCCAAAGAAAGACTCAGAGGGAGGGCTCTTCTACAAGGAGGAGGACAAGTCACATCCCCTGGAGAGGGCTCCTGCTCCCTGTCAAGCCCCCTCTAAGCGTTGCCTCTTTGCTTCCCACTTTCCCCCCACTCAGTTGTTCTCAGCATCCAACTGACTCAAAGGTAACCCTTCTGTGTCTGGGAGGAATAGTACTGTCTCTTTGAAACAAGAAATTCTTGTGGTAATTTGTCACAAGAAGTGCACACAACAACTGGGTCTCTCCCATCAATAGAACCTCCATTCCCCCTCTGGAGGCAGGTGTGGCCTGGGTGTCCTCCCTGAACCCTTTACCACCACACTGCAGCTGTAAGTCACAGGCTCTTCCTTCTTCCTCACAGGAGCTGAGGAAGGAGCCACATTTGGCCAAGATGGTCTGTAGCCCCTCAGTCTCTCTCCCTCTTTCTCTCTGTTTTTCTCTTCATGCCTTTCTATTTGTTTCTCTCTCTTCCTCTCTCTCTCTGTATGTTTATCTGTCTCTGTCTCTCTCTCTCTCCATCTGTCTCTGTCTCTCTCTCTCCATCTGTCTCTGTCTCTCTCTGTCTCTGTGTGTCTGTCTCTGTCTCTCTCTTCTGTCTCTGTCTCTCTCTGCATCTCTCTCCCTCCATCTGTCTGTTTCTTCATCTGCGTCTCTCTCTCCATCTCCCTCCGTCTCTCTGTCTCTATCTCTGTCTCTATATCTCTCTCTTTGTCTCTGTCTCTCTCTCTGTCTCTCACTCTGTCTCTCTGTCTCTCTGTCTCCCTCTGTCTTTCTCTGCCTCCACCTGTCTCTGTGCCTCTGCCTGTCTCTCTCTTTCTGTCTCTCTTTCTCTCAGACTGATACACTGAAGGGTTTCTTTACTTTCTATGTCTTTACCCATGTCCATGGATCAGGGAAGGGGAATGGGAATTCTGACTGTCTTTTTCTCTAGTACACTTTGGACTCAGCTCAGTCACTCACCAGCCGTGTGGCCTGTTGTGACTCAGGTGACTGGGGTATTGACAGGCACCATGATGGCCAGAGTAGAAATGCTGGCTTCCTGTACATGGGACACGGGGTGCCCAGCTGTGGCTCTGCTTCAGGAAGTTCTCTGAAAAGCAGGCAGCATTTGCACAGTCATTTTTTTCAGCACCTAGAACAGCTCCCACCACAGCCCCAGTGCTGTAGAGTGACAAGTGCCTGTGCTGGGGACCCAACACCTGCTAACTCTTCTGAAGGTCCTTGTGTATCAAATGGCGTTGCTTTCTCCCCAGGTGTGCTGGTAACATACCTCCCCTCAGCCTCTGTGGTGCAGGGGCCCACTTGCCTCTTTTGTCTAGTACTTGAGCTTAGCCTCTGGCTGCTGCCACTTCATCCAGCTATTGTGTGACATGGCCCTCAGGTTCTAGGATGACTGGTGACCTGGAGGGTGAAGAGAACAGAGTGCTGGTCAGGGTAGTCCCACCATGGTTGACTGGTAGGAACTGTGGAGAGCAGCCACCATTGGCCAAGGGTGGCATGGTAGCCCCAGAGGCTTCAGGATGAGGTGTTTCCTCCAAGTTGTCCCTGGGAGGTGTTTGGTGTCCTCAGCTGGCAGGGATGAGTTTTGAAACCCTGTGACTGATGGGCTTTGATGGGGCGGGAGGGGGCGGTAGTGTGGAGGGTGGAGAGAGATCTTCATTGTGTAATTCTCATGGATTGGAGATTCGGAAGTGATGACTGGCTGTGTGAAGGTGTGTCAGGGTCATGTACATGTGGCACATCTTGATAGTTCCTGTGAGAGGCAATTGTCATGGGTCTTCACCATGCCGTGTGTTCTGATGTTGGGCAGAAGGCTAAGGACCCTGGGGCTGAGATCTGTTTACAAGGCTCTCGGCCTCCTAGTACTGCTTGTTAGTTGACCTGCTGCTCTAGGGTGAGAGCAGCCCTCCAGATGCTGCTGCAGTTCGGGTTGGTCTTGAAGCTGGGTGACTAGATCAGGATACAGGTCACACACAGAGTAGAGCATGGGTGGCAAGCTTGGAGGAGGCCTCTGGTCTTCCTTTCCTTATAACAGAGTTCTGCATTTTGGGTTCATGTCAAAAAAACACAAACAAACAAAATCCCCCCCAAAACTGAGATGAGTGAGAATGTAGTGGCAGAGGACACCAGAGGGCAGTGCCAGTGTCATCCGAGTGCACCGACCAACGCCATGCCTCAGAGTTCTGACACTACCCTGGGGCTAAGGAGAGAGCTGCCTGTGGCTTGCTATACTTGATATGTCCTTCCTTCTTTTTCCTTTCCTGTTTATATTTTATTTTTGAAAAAACAGGGACTTACTGTTTAATTCAGTCTAGCCTCAAATTCACCAGGCTGGCCTTGAACTCAGAGATCTACCACCATCTGCCTCCCAAGTGCTGGGATCATAGGTGTGAACCACCATGACTGGCCTTCGCTTGCTATTTCTTGGCAGTTGCCCCTCTCTCTTTCCTGCGCTGGTAATCCCAATGACTTTATGCATCTCCCAAGACCAAGCACTAAACCCACGCATGTAACAGATTTCTCCTGCTGGGGGAGGAACTGCAGATAAGGAGAGGGCTCACACAACTGTTTTAGAAAGTATAAATACATGGGGGACTCCCAGTAAGGAAATTCAGGTTTGCTTTGAGATAGGCTCTCACTGGGTAGCTGAGGCTGGCCTTAAACTCACCATCTTTCTGCCTCATCTTTCTGAGCACTGGGACACTTGGGTCTGGGAATCCCTTGAGCTTCTTTTCCTGTTTGTTTGGTTAATCTGGAACTGTGCCACAAGAAAAACTGAATGTGGTCAACAACTATAAGGTTTTCGGCCTCATAGCCAGAGGAATGTAAGTTGGAATATTAGTCAGAAATGTAAATTGAGGCAAACACATCTCTTGGCACCAATGTCATGTTATCCTGGATGCAAGGAAGTGGGCATTCTGTTGTCAATGGCTAAGTATGTTTATAGGACAATGTAGTGTTCCTTGTTATAATTTTAAAGTGCAAAGAACCTAAATATGCTACATATGTCAAAGTACAGGGTTAACATATGTTCAATGAATTTATCCTACAGAAACACCCATTTGTGACATATACATTTTTATACTCAACAGCATTTGAGTTTTTATAGCAGACAGTTTAAATATCACGGGCAGTTACTGGGTAGCCTGTGGGCAGATGTGACTCTGGCCCACTGCAGGCTGGGATGGTACAGAATGAATCTAGCTATGTTAGAGGTAAGGACTCGTGTGTATGAAAATGGGACACACTGCAGTTGGACATACAGTGGTGAGGGCATAGAGTATACTTCATGCAGTGGTTGCCATTTGTGTCTCGTGGTACAGAACCCACAGAGGGTACCACATGGGTGAGTGTGTGGCTGAGACACTGGTGGGTGGGAGTACAGCAGTGATGGTCTGACCAGGGGCCATAAACACCCACTAGGACTCTGATTATGTCTGAGGCTGTTTTTAGGCTGAGACCCCACACTCTCCTATCTTCTACTCCTAGTTGGTGGCGGCCATCGTGTTCATCAGTTTTGGTGTTGTGGCAGCATTCTGCTGTGCCATAGTCGATGGCGTGTTTGCAGCACGGCACATCGTGAGTACTCCTTTGACTGGTGTGCAGTCTGTCTCTATGGATCAATGTCCACATGGAAAACAAATTTCAGTTACACAGCCCATCTCTGACATCTTCACACTAGCTTCAGCTGAGCTGCCATGACTGACCTTTTGCCTAGTCTGCCTCCAGCAACTGGAATCCTCTGCCTCCCACAAGATACACACACATACTACACAGCAAGTACAAACACATACCACACATAGAAGGCACAAATACAGCCATATACAATGAATACAAATACCCACCATCCACAACAGGCACAGACACCATACACAACACAAACACATACTACACACAGAATGCACAGACACCCACCATACACAGCAGACACAAACACATACATGCCATATGCAGCAGACATAGATATACACAACCACATACAGTAAGCACAAACACACACACACCACACATAGCAGGCACAAACACACAACAGACACAAACATACACATCACACAGCAGACACACACATCCCTCATTAGTTACCCCCAACCCAGTCCTCCCTAATAACTAAAGAACCCTTGTCCCCGGCTCCTCAATCCTGGAGCTGTGTCCAGGTGACTGTCCTCAGAGCCTTCACCACACTTAAAGCAAAATGCGCTGTGGAATCTGACTTTTGGTGTTACACATGTTTATAGTTCCACAGTCTCTCTTTAAAGATTGTTGCTTAACGTGGGGCTACATATATGAATAATCTTTGTATCTATAAGAAAGACTTTAAGAGAATGGAGTCTTGCTGGTGGCACAGTTACGAACAGAGAGAGATCTGTATGCACCTTGGCGCGCTGACCATGCCCATTTGGCTGTGGCCACGGGTGCATTGGGGTAGGGGATGTGAAATAAAGATCTGAGGAGAGGGGACTAACTCGTCCTCTTTCTGGTTGGGTCTTGGAGTGCTGCTGAGACTAGATTCGAGGAGTGCTATCTGGTTATCGGTTTCTCATGTAAGTGATCTCCCTTTAATAAATAACCAACTATACCCTTATCCCGTGTATGGTTCATTTCCGAGACAGGAGGAGGCACTGTTTGCATTTGTTTGATCCGTAGCTAATCTGAACTTGGCCTCCACAGTGAACAGACATGCTTATTCACATGTGTAGCAGCTACAGGGCCAGGCGGGTTCCCAGATGCCATAGACAATGATGAGCCACCAGGTTTCCTGCCTAGTGCAGGAGATGAAATTAAGAAACAAGTACACATAATACATCATGTGACGTACTTTGCTGTGATGTGTGCTGTAACATGAATAATATGGCACAGTATAAAAGGCTCGGCAGAACATGATGCATACGTGTGATAGGTGCAGACTGGCGTGAGACAATAGATGTACTGTGATGCAGGAGGCTGTGACGGAGAATGATGGAATGTGACAGAAGATGCTGTGATATGGAGTGGCATGCTATGTGCTACGTGGTAGGACGTGATCTGAATGATATGATGTACCATGGCACGGTGTGGTGTCCATGTGACACAGGACCTGCCAAGTAGCATGCTATGGTGCAATATTCTCAAATAATGTGTGTGATATGAGGTGGGAGTGGTACTATGACGATGGCTTGATATGTACCAACCAGGTAGGAATTCCTGTGTATGTATCTGCATGTATGTACAACTGTGTGTGCGTGTACAGGTGTGTGTAGCTCCCCCAGCACCTACAGTTTGATGTTTAGACATCTGGCCATTTGCCTTCCCTGGACAGACATAGAGACTACACTGCTCCCAAAAGAATGTGACAGCCTTGCTTTGAGGTCCTGTCCCCCTATAGGGTAAGATTTCTCAGTCCCATGCCCTCTCAGCTCTTCAGCACTTATGGGAGGAGTCACCTTCCAAAGACTTCTGTCTCCAGGTAAGTAAGATCTCCTGCCTGCAGCCACAGGTGTGAAACAACCTACTCCCCACCCTTCCTGGCTTCATTGATGGGAAGTCTAGAAGGCAGTCTGTCTGTGCGTGTCTGTCTGTATGCCCACCTGTGTATCTGCCTGCATGTCCCCACCTGAGCATGTGTATGCCCCCATCCCTGTATGCCTGCCTGTGTGGGTTCATAGGACCTCTGAAGAGTGGCCAGTGCAGCTGGGAGTCCAGCAGAGGGTCCACGTGAACAGCACCAGCTGGGTCCCAACCCACAGAATCTTCCTAAGGCCTAGACTCCTGGTGTCCTGTGGTCGGTTACAGTTCTGGGTGGGGAGGGGTGGGATGGCCAGACTCACTGAGGTCCACTTCTGAGTCCACTGGCATCATGCAGTTACATCCTGAGCTGCCACCACATGGGAAGACAGTGTGAAGATTCCATCCTCTTTACACCATCATCTATCTCTCCCTGGAAAGTCCACCGGGGAAGGGCCTGAATCTTGTCACATTGTGATGAAGGCCATGTAAGTCTGACAGTCCTGAAGACAGCTCTCCAGTCCCAACTGCAGCCACCTGTCTTCACTGCCTTCCTGTACCTCTAATCACTATCACATGAGATCCCCTCTGTGCCACCTAGGGCCAATATGTTTGCCTCCCATCTGAATCTATCCACACCCAGCCTGGCACACAGGTGCTATGCCCCACTGTAGCTGCTGCCTACTGACTCGTGAGTGACTCTTTTATCTGTTGCCAGAATTACTCGTGATTTCTAGACTCTTCTTAGGTCAGGAGCAGTGCTTTGAGAAAATGCCATTGATACATAGTAACAAACCCAAAGAAACACTTACAGATTATATGACTTGATGGCACTTCACAAGTTCCAGACCCCAGCTGTCTTCTGCCTTCACAACTGTGGAAATGGCCTAATTGTTGCTCTGCCCACTTCACTCACCCACAGCTCCAGCTTGCCTTGGCTTCCTCATGGGTCAACGCTATGTCAGATCCATGAGTGTTGGAGACACAGGAGTAGAGATGTGGTGAGTTAGGAATGATGAGCTTATGTCAAGTGGTGGGGCATGACATATGGAAGGAAGGATGGATTGATGGATGGATGATTGAATGACAACTGGATGGGTAGATGGGTAGTTTGGATGAATGAGTGAATTTATCCCAAATCTTTCTTCTTCCCTTCCTAGTAGAAGAAACTTCTTTTGCTTTTAGGAAGAGAGAAGCCTAGTGCCCCTGGTGAGGTGTAGAACACCCCTTGGCCCATTCAACGGTATTCCCCTGGTTCCTGTGCTCATGTGTGTGCCCAACAGGTAGATGGTGTCTGTAATGGTCTCCTCTGCAGCCTTCCAGATGCCGCACACATTGCTATGGCAGGCAATACTTTGTGTAGCCTTGGTTCTGCTCCAGTCCAGGGAAGGCAAGCCTGAAATGGCCCCTCTTGGTTGGGGATGACCATTCCATCCCATCTACATTTGTTTCTCTAGGAACCAAGGCCTCTCAGCACAGGGAGGTGCCAGTTTTACTCCAGTGGGACTGGGTACTTGTACGATGTCTATCAGACAGAGGTGAGTCCCTTTGGCCAGTGTGGCTTCCATATGCCCCAAGTCTTCTGTGTCTGGTTAAAATGGCTGTCTTAATTCTCACAGATCTTCCTGCTGTGTGGCTCTCAAGGCATTGAAAGCTAAGAGCTAGTCTTGACAGTTCAGTGGACAGCGCCATTCTCTTTGGAATCACAGCTGTATACTTTCCTCTTTGACACAGTGTTAGGATTCATCTGTACAGTTCTGTGTGGTCAATTAGCATTCTAATTAGCATTTTCACTGACTTAATCGCTGCCATGAAACACTAGGGTAACACATGTGCAGTGTTCAAGGGACTCTCTGGCTCTCCCTGGGCTGGGGACAGCTGTAGTATGACCTCACTCTTTAGCTGAGTGAGATGCCAGGAAGTACAAATAGACACTGCAGCTGACCTAGGAGACCAGAGCAGGTGGGCACTGGCAGTGGCTCAGTTGGGCTGTCTGCACCAGCACTGTGGGGATTTGTGGGCTTAGCTAAATAAAGCTGCTCACACTGAGTGCCAGTGCCAGGGAGGGGCAGGAATCAGCAAGTGGGTAACAGAGTCTCTTCTCAGTCTGTTCTTGGGGTCTTCAGACATGTAGAAGGTCGAAAATGTATGTGCTGGATATTCCAGAAAATAGATGTCAATGTTAGGTGTGTGGGGGCTTTTAACGGCTCCGCCTTGCCCAGCCCTGCTCTGATCTGTCTAGTGCTGTCTGTCCAGTCCCATCTTGCCCTGCTCTGCCCAGTCCTGCTCTGACTATGCTGTCCTGTGTCCTGCCCTCCCACCCCACCCTGCCATGAATCAGGGAGGGTCCTGGCAATGCAACCTTACTTCTGGACAGGGCAAGGTCTTGGAGCTAGGCTGCCCGCTGTCTGTGTAGAATAAGGTCTGAACCTGCCTGTCTCCACCCTAGGTCACCTGCTACTCTCTGAGTGGAAGGTGTCAGCTGAAGGTGAGGAGCAACACATGCTACTGCTGTGACCTCTACGCCTGTGGGAGGTAAGGCTGCCTCAGGAGTCTGTGCACACACACACAAACACATTCAGCGTGCGAACACACACGTGCACACAGACACACAGACACAGACATGCAAACACAGGTGTGACCCTACACAGGACATCTGTCCATTTCTCCCTTCCTACAGCTCCTTGCATTTTCTGCTGCTTTCTCTGGACTTAGTTTCAGCCATGAAAAAGTGGATTCTTAGAGTGACTGGATCTTCTCCCAAGAGCACACACAGAATATGGAAGTATTTAAAACTGACCTGGCCCCTGTTTGTCCCATTTCTTGGGGCAGCTGGCCAGCAGGTGGCCACCAGCACATCCCAGTTCTGCTCTGTTCCCTCTCTGGGCTTCGACCCACCTGCAGTTTTCTGTTAGGATACACATGGAAAATGAGAACACAATGCTTGCTTATTCTGGCAGGGAAGGTAGCTTGGCCACCATCCAACCTGGCCTTTAAAGGGCTCAGGGATAGTACATTGGAATATCCTGTACCCACTTTCCACCTCATTGGGAGGCCCGGTGGATCCTCCCTGGCCAGCCCCACCAAAGGTAGATGAATCCCCAGAGATGTAGGGAGGTCTCTGACTTGTTTGAGAAGTTTTCACCTGGGTGGGAGGAGACAATAAGAGAGCACTAGAAGAGCCAGAGGCCCCAGGCATGGGAGCTCCAGGGTTTCTGGTGTAGCTTGCTTCTCAGGGTCTATCTATAGGGCTCACCGGCCCTCACATGCATTTCCTTCCCACTGGAAACATCCCACAGGTCTCTGGAGGAATCACTATGCTTTGTGCCAGGCATTGCCATCTGCTGCTCTTCAGTGGTGGCCAGGACTGCTCTAGTGTGATCCCTGTAGGGTGTTCATGAGCTGTGGTCTGAATGAATGGTGTCTTGGTGATTGGGAGGAAGTATCACTATTTAAATGGTCCCCCTTTAACTGGCTTTCAAGGTCTGTGAGGATGAGAGTAAAAGTGTTGGAGTTGGGAGTTAGAGCTAGAAGTAGAATTCAGGCTGGTATTGGAGGTGGGTGGGTTTGGCATTGGGGTTAGAGTTAGGCTAGGGGTAAGGCTAATGTTAGATTTAAGGTTAGGGTTTACGCCATGGTTCCTACACATAGGTTAGTCTACTGGCGATAGATCTGACACTCAATGATAGTCATCTAATCGTAGATATAATGCTTGGGGGTGACCACCTGACCATGGTCTAACATGCTGTCACCTGGCCACACTCTAGCAACGAGGGCAGTGACTTTGTTCTTCCTTTGTAGCACAGAGCCCTCACCCGCTTACTATGAATTTGTGGGTGTGCGTAGCTGCCAGGATGTGATCCACCTGTACCGGCTGCTCTGGGTGTCCACAGTCCTGAACGTATTAGGCCTGTGCCTTGGCATTGTCACAGCTGCAGTCCTGGGGGCCTTCAAGGACATGGTGAGTAGTACCATCCTAAGTGTTTCCAGCCAGTGAGTCCTAGCCCAGAGCTCGGTGTCTCACTTGACAAAGGACCTGCATGTCAGATGGTAACCAGGGTTACCGATCACTTGCCTTGGAAGCAGTACTAGACCACCTGCTGGCTGAAAGTTCTCTTACTCTCTTAGACAGGCAGAACTTGTTGACATCTGAGAATGAAACCCACCTGCAAAGCTACTCTGTCACTGTGAGGTTCATGGGTATGGTTCTGGGCTGGGCTTGGACCACATCATAACAAGCTGGATGAGAGAACTGAAATTCACGCAGACCTACTTCTCCCTGAGCCAGCCCTAGTGAACCTGCCCCTGAGTGCTGGCCTGCTACCCTTTCAACACTGTGCAGAATCTTCCTTATGTCCTTTCAGGGTCCATGGCAAACCCTTTAGGGGTTCTTCCAGATCCACAGGGCTGCAATACACTTTCTCGGTAATTTTTCTTGTGCTTATCCTGCCGCCCCAGGGGCTTTGGCCTTTGGTTGCAGCCTAGGGTTTCTGCTTAGCTCTTTGGTGTCAGGCTTCTTGTTGCCAGGGAGATTTAAGGATGTCTCGTTATGACCTGAATTCCCACAATCTAGTTCTTGGGCTCTACCAGGCTGCCTCTTCCGCTGGCAGCTCCAGGTTGGGACTCCAACCCAGAGACCATATGTAGAGGATGCTGGAACTTTCTGTGAAGTCATGAAGAGGGAGTGGATTGGCCTGCTATTTGTGGCTTGGGTTAGGGTCCCCTGGAAGGCCAAATTGTAGGTCTGAATATGGTCTTGAATGGGTTTGAGGGTGCATTGAGTTGGGTGGCCACTTCCCCTTTCTTCACAGGTTCCTCTGTCTCAGCTGGCCTATGGCCCATCTCCACCACCTCAGATCCTCTACAACCCTGCCCAGCAGATCCTAGCCTACACTGGCTTGTGCCCTCCATCTATGACTGTGCCAACTTGTTCTTCCTACCCTCTGCCACTCCAGGTAAGCCGCTGTTACCTGCTGGGGTCAGGCATGGGGTCAGTAGTTGATTTAGTGGGCTCCTGGGTAGACTGGGTAGGGCTGTGAATAGAGAAGGGTGTGATTTTTATCTAGATGATGGGGACTGGGATCATTATGGGGTGGGCCATGTCATTTTCAAGATATACCGCTACTCATGGCCCTAGTAACCCATGAGTGTATTCTTCCTACTGGAAGAACTGTTTATTTTATATACTGTTTTTAGCTGGTTTATATCCTATCTATGTTAGCCATGAACTTGTCTTGCACAGGCCAGGGGGACTGAGGATGCCACTTGCTGCCTGGGTTCTTTACATTTGTGTGACACCAAGTGTTCTAAGTGGAGCCAGGTGCATGCCACCATTCACTGAAATCTGTCTACAAAGCTGCCAGCCCTGTGGGGCTCCTGTACTCAGTGCTGAGGAACCTGGAGGCCATCAGGGGAGAAATGTGGAATAAGATCTTGTTTGAACAGGGCTTTGCCTCTATTCCACTCCTGGATTTGACTTGTTCATATCCTACCAGGTTCTGGTGGCCATGAATGCGCCCCAGTTATTCAATGGTACGATATTGATTTGGACATGGCATTGCGAAATTGTGATCCTCTTGGCTTCCATCTTAGCACTGTGAGGTGTCAAGCAGGGTCTGTCCTCTGCCTTCCTATGTGGAAACCCTTAGTCATGACAAGAAAACCCTTGTAGATGCTGCCCAGTTTCTCCTGTTGGAAGACTGAGAACCCAGGTCTAGATGAACCTTCTAGACAGGGTGACAACTGCTCATACAGCTGGCTGCTCAGTGGCTTGTCTTCCATCACTAACAGAAGCTGTTATGAGACCCACAGAGCTGTGTTGAGCATGTCTCTGTGTCATCACACTACGCTGGCCCTGGTGAATGCAGTGAAGTCACATGTCCTCAGGTATTCCCCAGGAGACCTGCAACCCAGTGAGCCATACTAACACAAAGTGAGGCCTTGCTGAGCCAATGATGTTTGTTTGGGGAGGACTTGAGTGTTGACCTCTGACCATCTTGGATGGAGAAAGCTGTCAGGGTCCTAGGACTGACCCAATGTAGTGACCAGATATAAGCAATACTTGGGAGTCTTGACCACCTGGGATCCACATTTGTGAAGTCGGGGCTGATAGCATGTACTACACCTGGAAGAAGGCATGGGAACCCCAGTGTCTAGGACCGAAAAGTACAGCTTAATTCTGTTTTCCAGGGCTCACTGGTGCCCTGGACTCAGGTGAGGCCACTGTATCGCAGCTCCACCCCCTCCAAGGGGCAGGTCCCTTTTCTCTGTACTTCAAATTCCTTTTCCTATTTGGAAAGGGGGCTGGCTGGGGCTGTAATCCCTGGATTACTTGGGTCCTTTGGGGTCTGGAGGAAGGATGCAGCAGTGGTTCACTGTGGTGTTGGAGTGGGTCTGGACTCTCAGTGTGACACCCCCAGGCTGAGCTAGTGGGAGTTCCCAAAGGGAACTGGTCCCTCATCCACTGGAGTCACAGGAACCCCAAATTAGGGAACATAAAGGCCCTATCGGTAAAGCCTGCCTCAGGACCGAGTCTCCCCTCTTTGGAACATTGGAAGCAGCTCTGTCTAGAGTCAGAAAACTAGATGGTACAAGGGCACCAGCAGGAGCAGCTTCAAGGCCTCTACTTTTCCATGGAACTTCCTGCATTGGCCTGGAGAAGGATCTCCCTGGTCTCCACCCCAGGAAGGACACTGTCCTCGGAGGCCACAGAAGGTTTCATCCTGGGACCCTCTCTGTTCTCCTAGTCTTTTGTCAGATCCACATGTAAGACTCTTAGACTATCTCTGGGTAGACCTGATGGGGCTCCCTTAGCTGGTCTGGCTGCCTTTGGACACAGAGAGCAATTAAATCACATAGATGCCAAGAACACGACTCCAGAATACAGCCTGTGCAGGCTGTCTCCTTTCAGAACATATGATGATCCACGGGGGATGCGATGATGAACGTGGGATGTGTGGTTCCATTTGCTCCTGCCTGGTGTCTAGGCTATTTGGGCCAGTCCTGGTGCCTGCCCACCTCTCTGGGAGGCCTGACCTGAGGAAGAAGGGATTGCTGTGGAGGGGCTACCAGCCTGCTCTGCAGGATGTGAAATTCTGCATGAAGTGCCCTTCCCTATTCCACATGGAAAAAGGACAAATTCCCCCGTGGTGGTGTATAAAGGACAGTCCTTCACCATAGATACACTTTTGGGAACCTGGAGGACAGCCTGCCAAGTCCCATGGGTACTCTTTCTCCCACCTTCTGGGACCTTTGTTTTGCAGATAGTGGATGCTCCCCTTCTTCGAAGAGGAGACCTGGGAACCCTACTCTCTGGGCTGAGCAGCTTTCATGGAAGCATGTGTGGGTGGATAATTGCCCCATGTGCTTAGTAATCAGATTTCTGTGGAACAGGCAAATCGGATGAGCCCACGTGTTTCCTAAGAGCGACAGAGTGGATGCTGTCTCCACTGGTCAACAGAGACGGAAGAAGACCTTTCAACTGTCCCATTGAAGTCATTATCAGCCAGTGAAGATCCCTGAATAATAGGGAGTGAGATAGCTGTGGGGGTTTTGTGTGAAGTTACTTAAAAGGAAACCTTAGAGGGGCCCTGTCAATATCCAGCAGTTTGCTCAGCATGACACTCAAGGTTAGCCTGAACACTGTGCTGGGGTGGTCCTCTCCATGTGGGCAGGGCCTGCCTTCATGAGGCCTTGTTTAGTGACGCAGTTTCACCGTAGTTTCTTAGTGGTTTATCCTGGGGTTCCAGGTAGTTTAGTTTATCCTGAGTTTTCTGGTGGTTTTACCCTGTGGTTTTTAAGCTGTGGTTCCTGGTGGTTTTTATCCTGTGGTTCCTGGTGGTTTTATCCTGTGGTTCCATCCTGTGGTTCCTGGTGGTTTTATCCTGTGGTTCCATCCTGTGGTTCCTGGTGGTTTTATCCTGTGGTTCCATCCTGTGGTTCCTGGTTGTTTTATACTGTGGTTCCTGGTGGTTTTTATCCTGTGGTTCTTGGGAGCTTGCTCTCTGGTTCCTAAGGGCTTACTTTGTAGTTTGTTTATCCACTTATTTTGAGAAAAGAGCAGAATTGATAGGGTGGGAAGCCCATCCTAGTAGACCTAAAAGTATGACCTTCAGACACGCACTGGCCCCTGTGGTCAGAAAGATGCACACACAGATTGGAGGGAGAAACAAAATTCCTGAGTCAGCAGTTGGATCTTTTGTGACAATTGTCTCCCAATCTCGGCTTTTCTGTGGGAGGCAATGTTTTTAGAATGGCCATGCTGCCAGAGCCTGACTCAGCACTCCAGATGGAGTCAGTTGGAGCATCACATTGCACCCAGGAGTCACTTTAAAAACCTCACTTCAGAATTTGCTTTATTTTTTTAAATACCAATTTTAAGTTTTAAACTTCTAGTACTTAAGAGGGAGAAAGAGAACTAAAAAGAATTAGAAAAGTTTTACTTCAGGTCTGTGCCATTCCCCAAATTCCTCTTCTCACAAACTCATTCATGATTTGGGGGGGGGGTACCTATTGGGGTTCCAAGACACAATACCAAAGGTGTATATACATAAGAGATTTGTTTTAATGACCAACTCTCATGAGTGTAGTAGAGGCCTGTCCACTGTCCTCAGGACCAGGGCAATACTGTTGGAACTGTAGCCCATGGCCACACTGGGGCAGGATTCCTTTCTTCTTGAGGGTTGCCATCTTTTTTTCTTTTTTTCTTTTTTTTTTTGTTTTTTTTTTTTTTTTTTTGTTTTTTTTTTTTTTTTTTTGTTTTTTTTTTTTTTTTTTTGTTTTTTTTTTTTTTTTTTTGTTTTTTTTTTTTTTTTTTTGTTTTTTTTTTTTTTTTTTTGTTTTTTTTTTTTTTTTTTTGGTTGTCTTTTCTTAAAGTCTGCAACTAATTGGACCAGACTCTCCAGCAATAGGGAGCTGTGTAAATGTTAACTCCATCTGAAAAAAATACCTTCCTTAAACGTTTAGACTATGGCTGCTAACACTTGGTCACTGACCTATTAACCAGCATGCTGTGTTGGGAATGTTACTGATCTTGCTCTTCAGTGAGTGCTAAGGACCTGGCTTTAGGCCATCCCTGGCTCTTCTAGTCAGTGTTAGCGAAAGCTGACTGGGCTAAGTGGGCCAAAGAAGTCTGGAGCTTTGGAGATTTTCCCTAGGTGTTCCCAGCAGCTTTAGAAGTCAAGCTTATGCCACTCAGGTACCAGATAGGGTGACACTTGACCTCTCTTGGCTGTTCCTTGGCCTGGATGGCTTCCTGGGGGTCCTGGTGAGCTGGTAGCTCCTGGTCTGGTAGGATGCTGGGCCAAGTTGTTACTGGCATAAATTCTGGATAGCGTAGCTGAGTCCTCACCTGCTGATGGAGGACACTTCTCTGTTTAATTGCAGCACTCCAGTGCCCTGCCGGCCTCGTCCTCTGCTGACCTCTCTCGGCCTGAGGACACAGAGTCTCCTTCCCAGTGCAACTCCAGCCATGGGCGTTCTCCTAATGCTCCTTCAGTGTGCACACCAACCTACTTCCTTCCTGGGGAGAAACCTCCCCCCTACGCACCCTGACATGGACATAGTAGGTTAAAAAGTAACTTGGTTTGGGGGTGCCAGAAACAAAAGTAATAAAGCCATATATAGAAATCCTGCCTCTGCAGCCAGCCATATAGAGAATTCAGAAAGTATCTCCCTTCTCTTGGACACATACTCTGCCAGCATCGGCCAGCACCAGAGGCGGAAGTGAAGCAGACCAGCTCACCCAATGGCATCTTTGCTGTCCCCCTCTCCTCACATGAAGACCAACGGCAAACCATACTGGACCCTAGCCTCATCCCCCCCAAAAGGCTTCTCTGTACCTGCTATCACTCACTGCTCTGTTTCACTTCTAGTCTTGGTTGGTTCAGTTGTTATTATTCTGCAAAGGGAAGGTAACCAGGCATCTCTTTTGGTAAAGATTGTTGCTTCAGAAAATGCATTACAGGTTGACAGACTTCTGTGAGCATGTCCCGAGAAGGAACAGACAGAACAACCCTTGAGCTTTACTTTTCTGATCTGAAGGAGAACAAGCTTTGGACAAACACCCAAAGCTACTTCTGGAGGCCTTTGAGTTCTGCCTCTGTGTAAGATCCACCTTTTGGTAGACTCCAAATCGCACACTCATTTCCCCCTGTGGTGCTCTGTTGATTTGTGGCTACTGGTTTATTCATTCATTAGCTGTTGTGTGGATACTGGGGCCTTTGAGGTCCAGAACTAGCAGGCGGGGTTGGAGGACTAGCCTGTGAAAATGTAGCTCCTGTGCCCCCTGCTGGCCAAGGCCTATCTGTCCAGCAGATCTAGAGAGGTTTTCTAAACAGGGTTTTCCACAAAGGTGCACAACAGGGGTTCATGTAGGAAGGGGACAGGTCTGTCTGTGGAGAAGAGTTACTGCAAACCCAGGAGCTGCTCTGATCCCTGAAGGGCTGAAATAGTCATTGGTTTGAGGACTGGTAACTGTACACTATCCTCATTTTGAGTTTGGCCTTGCAGCCTGAGAAAGAGACCATCTTGGTTTCCATTTGATGCTTCCGGCCTTAGATCCATCACAGTCTTGCTTCCCTACAACCTCCAGGAGCCTGGCCTCAGCTTCCCTATGACCGTGGACCACTATCCAACAATATTCTGCTCATTTATATTTACACACACACACACACACACACACACACACACACACACTCTTAGGACCAAACTTTCAGAGGCATTTGTTAGAATTGAACCCAAAGGCAACAGGACAAAATTCTCCTTAGATTTGGAGGGGACCCTTGGGCACTGCTCCTTGATGGGGCCAGAGGTCAGTTGGCTCTGTCCTCTTCCTTGAATCTACTGGAGTGAACAGTTAAACAGCTCTCACAAAGGGCATGGACATGCCACAGTGTTGGTGTGGAAGAAGGTATCCTACACAGCAATGGCAAGATTCCTGTCGCTTGTTGGGGGTGAGGTTCAGAAACACAAGCATGGCCAGAGAGAAGCAAAGAGATGAATCCTTGATGAAGCCACATACGGGGACAAAGAGCACCTCACCCATGTTGTGATTGTACAGAGAAGTTCTGGAAGCTGATGGTACAAAGGGCTTCCAAAGCCCCAGAGCCTCTCTGGTGTGAGGGCCCACACCACCTCCCTGTTTTATATTATAGCATCCCAGTGTTGTATTCAGTAGTCCCATGTCCTGGGCCCAATGGGCTCAAACTCTGAACTTCCTAACACTGGACCCTGGGTCTCTGAAGAATATCAAAATTGCATGTCTGGCTGTGGAGCCCATACCCACTGGAGCCAAGAACTATTAAGAAACATTGCGTGCCGAGGTCAACAGTTCTGTTCATTGCCACAAAAATGTCTTTCTCCATTGTCTCAGCCAGAGAATGTAAGGTTCTGTACCCCAGGCTCCAGAGTTGCCCCCTCAGCCTGCACTAACCTACATAGTGGGCAGATACTCTTGAGTGTCCTTGCCTTTGTGTGAACAAGGCTGAGAAGCCAGCTGGAGCCTGCATGCTCAGTTGTTGTGGCCCATCCCTCGTTGGCTTTGCCTCTTTGAATGTCACCCTAAGGGTCTGCTCTGTACCTGGCTTCTGCTCTGGTTGATGAGATTTGCTCATGGCCACCTGTTATGTCACTGAATCTATCACTTGCATCTGCTTTTTCATTGATGGGAGATGCAGTTGTCCTGGGTCTGTGGTATGTTATCAGCTGACATGAGTGTATGTGGGCATGGATGTGGTGGGCCATGCCCCTCTGATGAGAAACACTGAGCGCTAAGCTCCTCTACCAGATCAGCCTGGCTGAATAAGGGTTCCACTTGCACCACCTCCTCTGTGGGTCACAGAGTCATTATAACTCTGCTTCTCAAGACCCCAGGATCAATAGCTTGGTAGTGGATGGCACGAGCCACAGACCTGCCTCTGTATGCATCCCTTTTTTTTGAGCAGAAGAGGGTGTTCTGTTGGACCTGCTTGGGTCTCCTCATTGCTTCTCTCTCAGATGCTCACTCTACCTGATAGATTTGTAGAAAGTCATTGTCTGTCCTGGACAGGAACCCTGTGACCCTGGCCATCTCCAGTATCTTCCAGCTAGAGCACATGGCCTTCCTTTATGTTTAAATGCATACTCTGTGGGCTTTGTGTTGAGAAAGACAGTGAAATGATCCCCTGCTCTGAAACAGTGGTGTCTAAAAGGTGACTTTGCCTTAGGAACATTTGGAACAATGTGGAGACACATTTCTTTATCGGACTGTGCTTGTGAGAGGAGCGTAATGGAACCTGAGGGAGGATGCGGTGCTGACAAGGAGGCTGCCTGAATGCACAGTACGGTCCTAGGCTCAAGAAAACAGCCTCAAGGGTACAATGAAAATGCAAAAATGGTAAAAAAGCCCCTCCCTAGAAAAAGAACTCTGCAACCAATCAGACGATAAAGAGCCTATAATCCATCCCACCCTCTTCCTCTCAACAGTCTGCTCTACCCCTCCCTCCAAAGGCTCCTGGTGCTTCCCTTGGTGCTCTGTAGTTTGGCCACCTTGACCCAGGGAAGTGAGGATCCCATGGTGGGAAACCAGCAGATTATTGCTTTGTTTGGCAGGAGCTGGTCTCAGGCTTGGTGCCAGCCAAGGCTGAGGATGCAACATCAGGGAAGAGGTGTCTGTTCTTCCCACACAGTGTTGTTGCCTCCCCAAGGCAGATAAGGAATGCCAAATATGTGGCTCCCCCCTCCCCCACTTGTCTGTGTGGTCTAACTCCAAACCAGCATTTGTCCTATTCTGTTCTTGGCCTCATGACCTTCTGTGGAGAATTGGAGCTGGTTGGAGGACATTCATGGGAACATTCCATGAAAACATTCCAGAGTTGCCTCCAACACATGGAGAAACCACTGAAGGTCTAGGGGATGCTGCCTCTCCGGTTGAAGACAGAGCGGGCCTCTAGAGGGCTGTGGGCTTCTGAGGCTGCCTGAGGACAGAGGCAGTGAGGAATTCTGGGCAGGACTGTACTTCCTACTGTCTTGGAGCTGTGTTCAACAGTGTCTTACAGGATGCTTACAGGATGCTGGGGTTAAAAATCAGTGGCTCCTAATTTTTTCCCTTACGAAGAAATGACAGCTCAGAGACACTGAACAAGCTGCTATTTCTTGTGTGTCCTGCTGCCGGGGGAGGATACAGCTCCCTCAGCTCTGCTCCTAGCCTTGAAACCGAAGTCCAGACCTTTTAAACAGAACAGGGGCAGCCAAGGGATGCAAATGGCCAGTATAGGAAGAGATGGGAGAGTATGCACAGCTACCACCCCTACATACTGGGTGCCAGGGGCAGTTTTAAGAAGGGTTCTGTGTAGGAGGCAGATGGCAGAGCCATGGAGGACTGTCTTCATTTGCAGGGTAAACTGAGGCTTTGTAGCTGGCTGGTGAACTCTGGCTCCATCCTGTGCCATCATCACGGGGGTCCCAGAAAAGGCCCATCCAGCTGTGGGCCCGTGACATGTTCTCAAAGCCTACTTACCCTGAAAGAAGCTCAGTTCTGAGACATCCTCCAGGACAGACAGTGACCAAACCCCAGGGTTACAAAGGTTTCTGTAAATATTTTATTTTCCCTATTTTAGAATCAGAAGCACGTGGTAATAAAAAATAACAGAATTATTTTCAAATCCACTCAGCTGCAAAGTGCCAGTCCTCTAGCCCAACCCTTGCCAGCCAGCTCCTACCAGGTCAGGGAGCAGCCACTGACCTGGTACCAGTCCCATTATGTACAGATATGTTACAAGGCAAAGAAATGAAAAAGTAGCCGCAAGAGCGGTAGCCCACCTGCTCCAGTGTTGCGGGGCCTGCTCGAGAGGAGCCAGTGCTCTGTGTCCATACCTCTGCCTCCCTTTGTCTTTAGGAAGGTACAAAGGCCTCTTGTGCATGGGTGCCAGAGCAGCTAGAGAGTGGCATGCTCCACAGGTGGGCAGGAGTGTGAGGTGATGTCACTGTGCTTGTACGAGGCCTCGTCCAGGTCCAGGACTTTCTGGTTTACCTCCAGGGTCATGCATCCACGGTAGTATGCTGTGACAGGTGCCGAAGTCACTGGAACATCTGGTGGTGGTAGACCAAACACAGCAGCTAGAGTTAAAGCCAGAGAGTACCACTCACCGCCCTCTATATTGCTTATTGTCAGTCCTGCCTGCATTCTCTTTGCAGGGGGTTTATTTTTCTTCATGTTACCATCTCATGGGGATACAGATCTGCACAGACATTATGCATCTTCACCCCTCAACCTTCCAGGCATGCATGTATAAGGTTTGGCTATCAAGGAGTGTCACTGTGGCCTCATGAGTTCCCATGCTTCAGGGCCTTGGGCTGTTATCTCCCTTGAAGCCTAATTGATTTAAAAAAAAAAAAAAAAGCCAGAGAGCCTGCTGTTTGCTAACAAGAGGACTCAGGCCTCTCCATAGCTACTATCCATGTTCCACCCATGGGCCTATAGAAGTTGGCTGCCCCTGGTAGATGGGGTAAGGGCTGGCAGACACTGTCAGCTATGAAGGTTGCAGATCCTTGGCAGTAGTAGTTAGGTGACTGCCTCTTGCATCACCTGCTAATCCTCTCCTCTGTGTTTGGTCTCCTGGGCTCCCAGATAACACTTCCCAATGGGTGACTCAGAGTGATGCCTGCTCTGAAGAGAGGACTGAACTATAAGACCTCTCACTCCAACCCCAGCACAGAAGCCAGCCTAGAATCCTGCCTCACAGTCATTAGCACAGGCCATGTGTGAAGTCAGCCAGACACAGGGGATTATGTCAGAGGGCTCCTACCTGGCAGGCCTCCAACAAAGGTGAGCACAGTGCCTTGTAGATGTTTCTCAAGTGTGTCCAGTCTCTCCTGCAGCTGGGTAGCACTCACTTCACTCTGGCCCTTGGTACCATCCACTTCCAGCGTGGCCTCACCATCCCGAAGGGAGACAGTGACTATGTGTTCCTGGCTGTCACAAACTTTGATTTCCATCAGTGCCAGAGCGATGTCCTCAACTGCCAGGACCACCAACTGTAGGAGACACCATCACAGAGCTCAGGGGATACAGAAGCATGGGAGTGGCATAGGGATCAGGGTGCCCCTGTTCTGTCCTTCTAGCCTCTGGTCTTCATAGGCTGGCCACCTCAACGCTAGCCCCTTCTTATGGTAACCCTGGGTATGAAGAGGTCTAGGAACCCTGGTACTCAGTGTCTTTGCATATAAAGCAGGGAGCAGCTGAGAGGGGATGGAAGGGATGGCTCAGTGGTTAAGATTACTGGCTGCTCTTACAGAGGATTTGAATTTTCTTCCTGGTACCTACAGGCACACAGTACACTTACATACAATGCAGGCAAAACATCCACACACTAAAACTGTTTAAAGTCCCTGGGAAATGGAAGACTTGGTCACCCAGCCTGAGCTGACTTCTCAGGATGTGGCAGGACACACTTGTCATCTATAGCTGTGGTTCCAGCACAGGCAAGTGCATATCCTCTGCCCAACCTCTCCAGGGTGAATAGTATGTGCTGGCAGGAGCCTATTGCTGTTTATCACACAAGCTAGGGGTGGGTTGAGATGCCCAGCAGCATGAAGCCTGGTCCCCTTGGTGGTGTGTATCATGGAAACCAGCCTTGTTACTAGTTAGTATACATAGCCAGCAGGGCTCTAGGGCCTGGGCAGGTGGGGGTCAGAAACCTCCCGTCTGAGCCACATTCCTCTTTGGAGCATGGGAGAGAGGGGAAGAAAGTCTTCCTTTCACTTTCAATAGCCTCATGTTCAATAGAATAGAGGGAGTCAGCAGAGTCCTCAATGAGGGAGGGCTCTGCCTGAAGTACACCTGAATCCAGGGTCTCCTCTAGCATCACTCACTGATAAGTTATCAGAGCTAACGGTGAGGTTAGTGGGTCTAACTCTGAAAGAAACCGGAAATCTCACGGTGCTAGTGACACTACCTGACTCTCGTGAATCGCTCGCTGCTCTGTGTGTGGGACACCCTAAAGGCACACAGTACACTTACATACAATGCAGGCAAAACATCCATACACTAAAACTGTTTAAAGTCCCTGGGAAATGGAAGACTTGGTCACCTCTGGCCCAGCAGTAGGTTTCAGTCCCTAGCTGCACCGCCAGCCACTTTGGCCAGTAGCTGTTTCATTTCACTGTAGTGCCTTTGTGACTGCATTGCAGCCTTGGCTCCAAAACCAGAGGACACGGCCTAGCTGTGTGTACTCAGACCTGGGTAGAGAGTTGGGTCTTGGAGTCTTTAGGGCAGGGAAAGGTTCAACAAGTCAATATCTCAGAGAGTGGGCAGGGCCTTAGGACTTTTCCTTGAAGGGGAATAATGGAGGGTCAAACAGGTTGCTCGGAGGTCAGGGTATCCTAGCCAAAGCTGGCCTCATATTCTATCTGTGACTGCATTGAATTCTACCTGTTTCTTGAGCTTCTTTGTAGAGTGGTAGTCGACCAGGGCCACAGAGAGGGGGACGACATGGTTGTCACCCACCAGTGCTAGCAGCACCCCTGTGTCAGTGGCAGGGCGGAG